TTCCTTCTTGATGCCAACCTGCATTATTTAGTCTGATGCATGTCCTCGGTTTCGCACCTCTTCCGCTGCCCGGGTGGATGTTTACGTCTAGTAGAGATATCATATCCAAAACACTAGTCTTCAGTTAAATGCATTTTACTGTTTTTCTGCGAAACTTTTCTGTCTACTGGTTAATCACCCCTTTTTTTAACTTACTATGGAAGGAGTGGTCTTTTGAAGGTTTAGTTTAATTCATGTTGTCCGAGCCTTCTGGGACAGTCCCTACTTAAACCATCGGGCATTTTCAAGTGAGGTTTATGTGCGACAGCTGCCTCAGGGAGGGGGACCTCCTGCTTATTTGCACATTCCTATTCTTTGGGACCAGTTTCTATTTTCTTGTTGGTGTTTTTCTTCATTCCAGGCACGAATACATGCTGGAGATTGAAATGCTCAAGTCGGAAATTGAACGTGTGCAAAATGAGGTAGGTATTTACTTTTATTTCCTCTCTTATTAGCTATTCATGCCTGCGTATCAACCCCTTTTGGAATACGATAATCGTGATTGGTAGCTTTAACACCTTAGGTATTCCCGACGTCTGTGGACCGCGCATTTTTTGCGGTTGGAGTGACACACATTATCGACAAGGACCGAAATAACCGTTTCAGTCACTCCTATCGCTAAGTTTCGAACCTACAGTCAGTTGCTGGTCACTGCGTCGGACGCTCTGACTCTCAAGTCAGGCCACTGGACTTTGAACTTTAAGGTAATAGGGCCACTACACGCAGTGAGTCCCTCACTCAGGCTGTGTCCGTGAGGGTCGCTTCAGCCTGGTCTGTAATGTTGTCGGTTGTAGCCGACAGTCCGTGAGCCCTTTGTTTTGGCTGTAGGTCATCGATGTCGGTGAGTGATTGACTGTCGGTTCGAAATTTGCATCCTTTAGGTCTGGGCTTGGGCATGACACACTGAGGCAGTTCAGTTTATTTGAGGAAACTATAGGTGTGTGTACCTTTGAACTCCCTATTTCTTTACCTGCATGTTATGATATCAAAATCATTGTACCTCGGCTTTTTGGTGGCGATGCCAAACGACACAAGCAAATGAGGTGAAACAAAGTAAAACAGTGAAACAAAATCTTTTGGTTTTCTTTTGAAAAAACAACTGTCGCTCATGGAAGGGCAGTACGCTAGTTCGAAACGGGAGGGTATTGTAGGGGAGTCACGGAGATCATCACCGAAGTGTGGAAGATGCGGCCAGGTAATCTCTTGCTGACTGCATAGTCCACAGCTAAGGCGGTGAAAACCGGAGTACCCGCCACGATCATCGACAGTCCATTGCGGGTCGACGCAAAGGACAATGCTTAGGGACCGCGTAAACTATAGTTGGTTGGTTGGTTGGTAGCCCTTGTTGAATCAGGGGTCCCCGCCGGAGTC